TATATACATATGCTAAATTGGGATGAAGAATATAAGAAAAAAAAAAGAATAAAGAGCCGCTTGTCGCTCGTCGGTTAAAGGGTTGTTGTTTAGCGACAATCAATCATGAGAAAAGTAGTTTTGATCGTCAGATTTCTGATTGTTTCTTTCATTTCATTCTCTGAATCTTTTCAAAAAACTGAACACAATATCACAATATTGCACAATATGCACAATATCTCTGCGCAATGTGTGCGAATAAATAAATCGAATTAAACGAAAAAAAATCAGTTCAATGATTCAGTAAAATTCTCATTTCTGATATCGCTCTCAGGTGTCGCAGTTTACAAAATGATGCTATTTTAATACGATTATTACAAGAAAGATGCTTTTTTTAGATTACCAGACTGTATTAGGATCGGAATGAAGAGAAGATCACAAATTTAACATTAGAAAAGAAAATTTTAAAAAATTGTATTGGAAAAGGAAAAATTCCCAAATAAAAAACATAAACGAACAAGTGGATAAATCGAATACCTTTAAAGATGAAGTTTAAAAAAAAAAGAACATCAATAAAAATTAACCGAGTGCAGCCAGTTGTTCGGCCTGCTCCATACTTTCACGTCTTCTACTCATCCTCCGTTTCCTGGCTTCTTCATCGGACATATGGATGCCCATTGACATCCAAATACTGTCACGATGGGCGTCTGTAAATGTATTAGCGATAGTGTTATCATTATCAGCAATATTCATTGATATTTGCTGTTGATTGTTTGATGAGGATGTCGACGAAGACTGCTCTTGTTTTTGTTGTTCACTTATTGGAATTGAATAAGCAGTTGTCTCCTGGTTTGACTCATTTTGTAGTTGATTCTCATCTTCTTCCTCTTCTTCAGCCAACGGTGGTGTAGCACACACCACCGATTCATTACTACTCATTTTGTTGACTGACTAGCGAATAATGGCTTAGCTAGTTGATGGTTGGCCTAGCTTGTCTGATTTCGTTGCGTTAAATGGTCTCGCTTGGCTCAATAGCTTGCTCAGGCTTAGAGTTAAAGTTTCGTTCAGATGATCGAGTAGTTGCTAGAATTGTGTGATGTGCGCGTAAAAAACTGAATGGAATAAACAACGAATAAAAATAAATGAATGTAGAGAATGTAACAGCTTTGAATACCAAACACAACAGTAACTCTATGAAGATGTAGTGATGATGTTGGCGATTATGAATGCTATTATAGTTGCTGGTGGATTTTTAATTAGGACGAAACGATTGGTCCGGTCAAATGAACAATTAATCAGACTCAGAATCAGAGATTCAATTAGATGAACCCAAATTCAAATCAGTGGTTAAAATCAGAAAGCGTTAATTTGAGGCGCTTAATCGCTCCTCTTCTCAGTTCAAGATAGCAATCAAATGCGACCAATCGTATTTAAACAACAACAAATCGCAACCATTCAAAACTTTGAAGATGAGCTAATATAAGTATGAAAAAGCATGTCAAAAAAACAAGTAACAGCTCTGTAGCAGTAAGTAGTAACTTGCCAACAACCCAGCACGACCAGCCAGTTATAATAATAATAACACAGCTAAAAAGCTTACTTGCTACTCTTACCGCCTCATTCGTTGTCAATTCAATTCTTAACTGGCTGTTGTTCGTTTTGCGTGCTGGCTTAAGCTACCTATCCATTCATCCATCCATCCCTACATCCAGTATATATAATATTTCATATGTATGTTCAGCTAGCGTTAACTACGGCCCATAGCTATATAACTATAACTATGGCTATAGTTACACACTGCTGCCATGCTGCTATCTTTTACTAACTATTACTACTTACTACTTTCATATTACAACTGAGTTCATCAATGCGCATACCACTGATCGAAAATCAACAAGTATCTATCACGTACTAAGATTTTACAAGTATGCCGTTGAACTTGAGCCTAGGAGCCTAACTAGCATTCAGTCCGTAAAACATCTGATACATACATAATATTATGCTTTCTATCGTGAAAGAAATATCGAACTCAACTAAAGTCATGCGAAGTGTCCTTTTGTGATCACTTGTTTAGAAATGGACTGTACTTTAATTTGTGGTGTACTATTTGCTGTAATGTGATGATGTTTCAACATTGTCATGCTATTTGAATAATGCAACGAAACAGAAACGAGGCAAAGAAGCAAATGAAGATAAGGCAATGAAAAGCAAAATAGATAACATCTTAGCTATGTGGATGACGGCTCTTCAATCTAGCAATGATGCTGCTGGTATTCTTAGTATTACTGCTGTTGAGTTGAGTAATGTGTTTCAATCAATACTTAACAAGCACATATTTCATACAAATACATATGTACGTAGACATTTTTAATGTTATATTTGAAGAAGGTCTAAATGAAAAGCAGATGCATACAGAATACGTATAAATAGCGTTATAGACTGATTAGATTACCGAAAGAATTTGGTAACGACGAGATTATGTGAACAAGTTATTTGAAGATTTCGTAAAATAATTCTAGCGAGTTGATACGTTTGGTAGATGGATAGTTGGTACGGAAATTATAGTTAGTGCTCAGGTTGTAATGCTGGATCAGCGAATACATAATCATAATACTCATCACAGTATATTTATAGAACGATTATTTCTCACTGACATTGAAAAATCTTACAAACGGAAATACGAAAGTACTTCTTCTTATTATTATTATCATCATAGATAGCAATCGCCAAGCCATTTTTCGATTTATCTAACACCCGCAATGATGAATCTTAACGGCTTTGCAACAGCCAGTTTATTATTGACATTGCTCTTTTCGCATCACACTTCAGCTAGTTTAATGGTCGTTTCAGATACCTAACGTATGACAAAGTTCAGATGCATAAAGCCTCTTAATGATAGCGATGAAATGTAATTTTAAGCACTGGACAGTTCAGTTTGACGAATTACTACGGAGAATCAAATCTTTGGAGCAATTTTGTTTCTTTGATATTATTTAGCAGAAGCAATATGAGTCTCATCAGATCATAATGAAGAACCGCAATGAGTAAGAGTTGTTGTTGAAACTACTGGATACCGATCATCTACTTATTTGTCACGTTATTTTAACGAATATCATAAATAAGGAACGTACTCTGATCAGGTCAGGTCAACAATAATACACTTATCACTATTCGACAGTTATCATCTTCTTATAAATTGATTCACAATCATCTGCAGAAGACCACATTCGTTCCACCTCCAAAACAGTGTCATTAAAAGTTTACGATTAACTCTAATTCTGATTCCTAATCTAAGCCTGTGTCGAGAAGCTTAATCTCTTACAATGCTTACTCTTATCAGATGCTCTTTGAATGGTCGGTCAGACATTTTTGATGCGAATATACTTCATTGACGGATGCCACCCACAATGATGAATGCTCTACGTCCTGAGCTGGCTCTCAGTTTTTGAGACAGATTTCAATCTTATCAAAAGCCAATCTCATGAAGAAGGTCTGATCACAAGTGTTCATCAAAACACATTTTAGCGAAACCAAAGCTTTTCTCATCCGAAACTCTCGGTTCTCAACTTCCAGACTGGCCTCGAAGATCATACCATCAGATCCAAGTTAGACAGACACTCCAACTGTCTAGGTATTTAGAAAATGGTTCAATAAAAAGTAGTTCACACCACAGATCCATTTGCACTATAGTAGTAATTTTCCAAATTCTCATTCTTCACCTCATGATGCAACTTAAAAAAATATCAACCACTGACTTCAAAAAAAAAAATCATTCTACAACACAAACTGTAGTTTCACGCCTCTAGTATTCAAAAATTTACTCAATTCATATATCCGCATATTTCGACACTAGATCATTTCGCCTAATGACATCTGTCTTAGGGACATTTGGTCTTACGGACATTTGGCATAATGGATATTTTGCTCAATGGACGTCCGACAGTATTATCTTCAAGCATTTAAGAGTTGTCCGAATCTCTTGACCCTACTTATCGGGATTGTTAATTTCGTAATCTATTAACAGAACATTTGTACACTGAACATTTGGCTTTGATCAAAGTGAGGTTTTTACCAAAGAACTTATCAAGAACAAACAAGCAGCATTTATTTCATCGATACTACCAGTGATGAACTGCAGTCTTCTTCTAGGAACTACGTTCGGATTATTCACAAGCAGCAGATTTCGCACGAAGATCAAAGATAATATCTCATATGAATTATGCACCTCGAAACACATTATAAATATACATGTCATTATTTTCGCAGTGTGAAGTAACTTCAGAACATGAGTGACATTAACGATTCGATTGAAAATACATAAGCAAATGAAAACAAGGATTAAAGAATGACTGTAATAATAATAGTAATCATCATAATAACCAATGAATCGGGTAAGGGAAAATACAATAATGACAATAATAATGGTAATAACAATGATAATAATAATAACAATGATAATAATAATAATAATAATAATAGTAACAATAATAATACTAAATAAATAATAATAATGATAACAGTAGTAATAAGAACAATATTAATAATAACAATAGTAATGTTTTAAAAAATAATAGTAACAATAATAATGATTTTAAAAAATAATAACAACAATAACAGTAATAATGATAATTGTAAGAATAATAGCACCAGTAGCAAATAAATGGAGTTGCGAGAACAAGATAAATCATTTTCACATTATCCATCCACTTCAAAAGGTGTGTGATATAAAATGATTTGAAAATGCAAACTGATGAAAAAATAGGTGAAAGAATGAGTGTCAAGGAAAGCGATGAAAGAATACGCAAAAAAATTGGTCGAACATGACAGGTAGATATAATTCGCATTGATAATAACAGCACATCAACGAAAGCATTGCAAAATACATACACGAGCAATTTGAACCAATTAAAGAAATCAGCACGAAAGAAAGCGAAGAGAAAATGACCATAAAAGGAAAAACAAAATAGATATATTTGGATGTTCCAAAAAAGTTTCCATTTTATTTTCTGATAATAAACGAACGGAATTCTTTCAACTACAAATAATCGTTTTCTTCGCAAGCTTTCTAGCAATGAACCGTACCCTTTTTACAAGTTATGCGCGATAGCACGAACATAGGCGAGAGCTGATCTGTCCTCATATCTATTCATAATTTTTTAAATCGCTGATTGACCTATTCATACTCTTCCAGATGGGTGCAAAAGGGAATGAATCGTATGCTTGCTCTATAAATATTTCGCGAGAAGCTTACTCTTTGCGCAACCACTTTTCTAAGCGACATAATGTGGGATGCGTGATCGTCATAAGCCAATCAAACGTCCTGCGCTATACCTTGAACCGAATTTTGGTAAGTGGAAGGCAAAGATGAATTCGCTACTAGGGGATCAGCAATAGCGTACTCTTGTGTTTAAATAGCACAATTTCCCAGCGATAGCGTCGTCCACTAGTGTCTTTGGTCAGCGTTTCAGTGAGCTACTTTTTCGTGAGTTTAGCGACTTACGCTAACGTTTCATCTGCAAGTAAATGCATATTTTCCCCAACATTAAAGTATGTAAATACATGTTCGCGCTGTAACACTGCACTAAATTCGAACGTACTGTACTCGTGCTCTTCCGAACGGTTCGAAGCTGAATATTCAACCACAGCTTGAATGTCTGATTTTAGTACACCACTAACAAACATCCCGTATCAGCTCATTGTGTTATTATATTTATTGTTAATAAATTATGTGGCAAGGCAGTGAAGTTTTCATCGGTTTTGCTGTTTTTCTCTCGTATTTTTTTAGAAGATTGTAAAGTGGCCATAGGTAGCGATAGCGATGGCGGACTAATTTTGCTTCTTCAGCGGTTCAGCGTCAACGTTTCGCTGATTTTTTGGCGGTAATATCGATAGCGGATTTTCCTCAGCGGATCAAACATTTTCTTGTCAACGAATCAACG